CCCACAGCAGCAGTGTGTGCAGCTCTGGGGCCAGGTCAGTCTGTGTGTGACCCACAGCAGCAGTGTGTGCAGCTCTGGGGGCCAGGTCAGTGCTCAGTGCCCTGTCTGGCTCCCACCCTGCCCAGCCGTAGTCCTTGGGGTCCTGCCCATGGGGCTGGGGGTGCCCCTGGATCCCTGGCAGTGCCCCAGGGCTTGGAACACCCAGGGATAGTGGGAGGTGTCCCTGCCATGGCAGGTATCGACCACGAGACAGAGATGGGCACACTGAGTGTTGATCAGATCCAATTTTTACTGAGCTTATTTACCATTTGTAGAAGGCTGGTAATATTTTACTACACTCATCTAGTTAACCATCACATAGACAAACTTTACATTTTCACTTAAGTAAAATCTTATTTCCCCTAAGCCCGACTTGATTCAATCTTCCTGCAGTCAGAGCTGTTTGCTCTTGCCAGGGCATCCTCGTTGCCAAGCTGCACGTGCTGATTCAATCTGCAGTACTGTCAGTCTCATTTACCATTGCAGGGGTGGAACTGGGTGGGCTTTGAGATCTCTTCCAGCCCAAACCATTCAATGACCAAAATCCTCCACAAGACTCCAGAAAAAGGGAATTTCCTCCCTCCTGTCCTCAGCCTGGCACCCCCAGCAGCAGCTCCTGGGGGACCCTTGCACGGTGTCCCAGTGTCCAGCCTGGCCTTGGGCACTGCCAGGGATCCAGGGGCAGCCCCAGCTGCTCTGGGCACCCTGTGCCAGCCCTGCCTGAGCACCCAGCTGTGCTGTGGGGTTTTGGCTGCATTCCCCAGGAGCTTTCCCTGTGTGCAGGAGCGTGGCCAGCCCCCGATGCCTGTTTCCAGGACGTGAACATGGCTGGGAACACCTACGGCAACTGCGGCAAGGACAGCCAGGGCCGCTACGTCAAGTGTGACAAGAGGTGGGTGCAGCGCTGGCCCTGAGACCCCTCCCGCCCCTGCCACCCTGCCAGGGCACTGGCAGTGCCCCACCTCGAGGGAGCCACCAGGACCCTCCTGGGCTCTGTCCCCAGACAGAGATCTCGGGCTCTTCCCCAACCCAAGGATCCTGTGATTCCATTGTGCCACCACGAGCACCTCCCAGCTCCCCATGGAAAATCAAAGCCAGTGCAGGGAGGTGTTTTTAGGGAGTGTGTGCTGTCTGGGATTCCCTGTGTTTTTGGGAAGTGTGTGCTCTCTGGGATTCCCTGTGTTTTTAGGGAGTGTGTGCACTTTGGGGTTCCCTGTGTTTTTGGGAAGTGTGTGCTCTCTGGGATTCTCTGTGTTTTTGGGAAGTGTGTGCTCTCTGGGGTTCCCAGTGATTGCAGGGATGTTGGAACCTCCCCCTGGCTGTTCCCTCCACCATTTCTGTCCATTTAACCCCCTGAACGTCCCCAGTGTGGCCATAAATCCAGTGGGAACGATCCCACGGGTGTGGGATGGGGGGGCTGGAATGGTGAGGGCTCCCAGCTCCCCTCGGCTGTGCCCGCTCCAGGGATGCCATGTGTGGGAAGATCCAGTGCCAGAGCTCTGCCAAGAAGCCACAGGGGACCAACACGGTGTCCATTGACACCACGATCCGCTTCAAGGGCCGCGAGGTCAAGTGCAGGGGCACCTTCGTCTACAGCGCCAAGGACGACCAGGAGGACCTGTCCGACCCCGGGCTGGTCCTGACGGGCACCAAGTGTGGAGATGGGATGGTGAGTGTCCCCCCTGAGTGTCCCTCCTGGGTGAGTGTCCCCCCTGAGTGTCCCCTCTGGGTGAGTGTCCCCCCTGGGTGAGTGTCCCCCCCCCGGGTGAGTGTCCCCTCCTGGGTGGGCTGTCCTGCAGATCACCACCTCAGGGCTCTGAGCCAGCCCCAGGGTGCACAGGGCTCCTCTGGTCACAGCCAGGCCCAGGGATGTGGTTCTTTCCACACCTGCAGGCTCAGTGACTTCTCACCTGCTGTCACCAGGTGTTTGTGGGCCACCAGGTTCTTCTCACCTGGGCATTTGTGGGCAGTGCCAAATACTCAAAATGTTTAGACCACCAAATTGTTCCTCTGGCCTCCAAGATTCTTCAACAAATCAGTTCAGAGTGGAGCAACCCCAGTGGGAATGGCCCCAGGATTGGATGGATGGATG